TAAAGTTCTTTAACTTTTACCACGAACCAACGGATACTATGTATCGTTCAAAAAGTACAACAATCTGCCCCTGTCGCTCCCACGGCTTGCGACCAATTGACGTGGCACCGAGTATCGGTGGCTAAGTGGCTCAATATTTTATAAACGCTCCACTATGCCCGCGTAGCTGATGTCCGAGATGGGATCCGCACCCTGAGCCCCGGACTTTATCATTTAATGACGGCCATACTTCACGGCCTGACGTGAACTTATAGAAGGGCTCTCAAGCTTTCAAACGCTTTTTGAAAAATTCGAATCCATCAATTAGGAGAGCTCTAGCGCTTATTTAAACATTGGTCGAATTTTTGTACTATAATTTTGTATTTTTGTTATATAATGAGTTAATTTCTCATTTACTTATATTTTAAACAGTAAATAATAAATATTTGAATTAAACTTTAATCACAAAAGAAATGATGATTAAATTTAATTAATTAATTACTAATTTTCGACATATTTAGAAAATAATTGTTGTTTAAACTAGTCTACTTACCCTATTTAAAGAATTAATAGAATTAGGATTTGTACCTATAAAAAATGTTGTACTAATAAAGCAAAATCTTGTCAATATTGAGGGCAAAACCTTGCCAAATCGCCGAAAATGAAAGAGGCAAACTCGTGCAACAACAATGCAAAGAATTCGAGGAGATTTATTCCGCTTTAAGGGGTGGCTAACTCTTCGACAACAGCAATTCGAAATATTTACTTCATCAAAGTCGAAAAGCCGCTTCTAGGACTGTAAATATTGATGCACGGACTGAACCACCGTATTTACCTGGCTCGACTCAAATCCAAACACCGGTAGTAGGTAAAAAGGAAACTGAATTTGTTTTCCTGTCCGGTGGTCTTCGCGCTTATTGGCGTTTTTTTGTTGTACTTGACAGATAGATGGATTTGGAGTATCATAAATGCTTTGAAGGGTCATAATAGGGTCTAAGTCAACAATATCTGTATGAAATATTAGTCTGGTAATAAAAACAACTTTTTGTATGGCCTCTACTCAAAAATACTTTTTTCACTATTTAGCTGTGCGCAAACTAGCTAATTTCTTAGGAAATTAGGAAATGTGGCAGAAAAAATAGATAATTCTGCCACAAAGTGACGTAAGTTTTACAAATTGATTTTTAGTGACTGAAATCAAATTTCGATCACTAGTGACTAAATCTTTTTAGTTATTATCGAAATAAAATGATTATAATATTATAAAGAGAGCAACATTAAGAAAAATAACAAGTTAAACTATTTACCTCCTTTTTATAAATATTTATAGTAACCTTTTACTTACTAAGAACATCAATGAACTTCTAAACTTGAATGATTGTCTGCATAAATCACATATTTAACATATACACAGTAACACATTCTTCATCATCTGTTTGTTTTGGTGTACGTATACGGCTTGCAGTATAAAAATAAATGTAATTTAAGGACTACAGACTATATCAAATAACGTAACGTAATCTTCGTTAAATATGTTGTAATGCTTCCCATTTATCGAGAGGATATGTTGCAGTTATAGTGTTTCTTAAGTCGGGAATCTGAGGGTGCTGGAACGAAATTTTTACGCACTTTCATCAGGACCGGTCTTAAAAGAAATTCGACCCTTTTCTAGTCCATGTTTGTACGGAAAATGACGAAAAGTTGGCATACACATATTTAGAATAATTGAAATAAATTATGTATTGTTTTTTAATACCTAAAATTTATTTGTAGAATATTGAGGATGTGGGTATAGATCGACGAAACGCCGACGATTATATACAGGGTGGTCCAGGTTTCAGTCAGGAAACTTCATCAAATGATATATCGAATTATTTTAAGCAAAACGTTTAAAATATTACATTTTCTGAAATATAACGAGCGTTCAAATAAAAACGTGGTCGAAGTTGGCTCTGACACATTGGACGTAGGGAGTAGCTTATAGCGACCAACTTAACCTCATTTCTCAACGAGCTGTATAGCAGCTGTCAGTTTCAATAACGTTAATGACTATATAACTTTATTTTAAAGAATAATCGTGATAACAATAACAAACAATTAAAGGAGCTGCGGAAAGTGTCCCCCTCCTTGTTATAACAATAAATTAAAGCAGCTGCTGAAAGTGTCCCCCTCCTTGTTCCAAGCACTTTTCACACCTGTTCCTCAAAGAATTAAAGACATTTTCTAAGATGCTCGGGGTATTGTTAATTTCACGAATCTTGTCTATAAGTCGAGCCTGCAGATGGTTTAAATCAGGAATAGGCAGTTCAAAAATAGTGTTTTTAAGGTAAGGCCACAAAAAGAAATCACACGGCGTAATATCACATGACCTCGGTGGAAATTCATGTTCAGCATTGAGACTTATTAGTCGATTTTGGAAAACTTCCCTCAACATATTCATCGTCTCGCCTGCCGTATGTGCCCTTGCGCCATCTTGTTGAAAGTAAAAGTTTGTAATTTCGTTTTCTTCCAGCTGGTTAACAAAAGGAGCGATAATTTCTTCTCTATACCTTTGCGCAGTAAGAGTACCATTAAAAAAAATAGGTCCATAAATCCTCCTTCGATTGAGAGCACACCAAACTCCAATTTTTTGAGCGTGTAGAGGGCCCTCGACAAAAAAGTTATCTGGTTTTTCAGAAGACCACATTCTCATATTCTGTGAGTTTACGTAACCACTTAAATGAAACCAGGCTTCATCAGAAAAAAAGGTGATATTATGAAGTTCACCGTAGTTGTTTAAAAACCATTCACAAAATACAGCCCGTCGCGGAAAATCAACTTCATGAAGTTCTTGCTGACAAGTTAAACGATAGGAGAACAAACGCAAATCTTTTTTTAACACTGTGTGGCAGGTACCGACTGATACTCCCACCATTTGTGATAAAACACGTACAGAAGTTCTTGGCGCATTTTCCATTATTTGTTGGACATTTTCTTTTAATTCTTCAGTCCGCTTTTTAGGTCGGCCGCTTCCTTCTTTTCTTGTTACACTGCCCGTTTCACGAAAAACATTAACACAACGCTGAACTGCACTTTGAAAAATTTTGTACTCAACAACGCCGGGAAATTGATTTTGAAATTCTATGAAACATTCCTCAATAGAATACTTCCATATTCCATCAATCTTGCGTCCATTTCTAAAGTAGGACTCTATGATAAACACTTTTTGTTCTTGAGAAAACACCATTTTAAACGCTTTTTAAAACGAAAATATTCAAATTGATAGCGGCGATATAGCGCTTTGACAGATGACGTTTAAGTTCATTTGCTATACGCTACGCCCTACGTCCAAATTTTCAGAACCAACTTGACCACGTTTTTATTTGAACGCTCGTTATATTCGTAAACTTAGACCTTTAGACTTAATATCGTAATTTTTAATAAAAAAATTTTCATAAGTCGTTTTTGTATAATGTAGTCTTATTTTCTATTTAACTAAGATTGATTAAAAAAAAAATTAGATCTTTAAAACAGTTTGTTCTTCTACCAAAATGAAGAAACATTTATTCCTAGAAATAAATGCAGGTGAAAATCGAATTAATTTAATTTACAGCATACGTATCTCCATTATAAGTCAACTTAGTGAATTTTCATTTCTAATTAAATAAATAAGCTAACCAAGTTTCATTAGTCTAACGACGTAAAACATCAAAAAAAATATTTAGAACTCTGAAATAATTTCTAATATTTCGAATTTTCACCACCAAGAACGGCGGTGACAGCATTTTTAACATTAAGGCGATATTTCGCATTGTATTAGCTATGTCCTGTCCAAATTTCGTTCGTGCAACTCTCTTGGTTTCGACAATGCCTATGTATGTTTTCAGCCACGAAAATTGAATAATTTCAAATATTTCGAATTTTCACCACCCAGAACGGCAGTGACAGCATTTTTAACATTAAGGCGATGTTTCGCATTATATTAGCTATGTCTGTTCAAATTTAGTTTCGTGTAACTCTCTCGGTTTCAAAAAACAATACCCTATATATGTTTTCAGCCACGAAATTTAAATAATTCCAAATATTTCGAATTTTTGGTTAAATAGGTATCTATAATTACGTATTCGTAACGTACAATATAGGTTAAGGTAATTTATTCGTCTGATCAGTTCACCAATTCCTTTAATCAAGACCTAAAATATTGTCTCTAAAACTAATCTGTGTAGAAGCCACTGTGGCAGCTTAGTAATTTATGACTTTAATGCAATGATATTTAAATTAATACTCAATTAATAATTAGCAGTAAATCGGATTTTAGTAAAACTCACTCATTTCTGATGCAATAGTTTCACTCAGTACTCATACTAATACAGTGAAAATTTTACTCAATCGAGTGTGGAAAGAAATTGATACATTGTTGTGTAAAATTGAGTGAAATTTGTGTGAAATTTTTTACAATGTATTCTGAGTATGTAAAACCAATTAAAAGTAGACTTTTTCTCTATATTTATTAAGTAATTTTTTACCTTTAATATATCAATTTTTAATTTAATGTTTTGTGAGTTTTCAGAAAATCAACAAAATCGACGGCTTTTGTATGATTTAAATGAATTTTTAATATTTCAAAGTCGTTGCAGCCTCAATCTCGATTTAATCGATTTCGTAAATTTTGGCGAAGTCGCCAGTTTTAAAAACTTGTTTCCACACATCATCACTTCCCTTAAAAGATGTTTAATATCTACATCACTTCTTGAGGGTACAAACAATCAGAAAAAGATAATCAACAGCTTACTTCCTCATTAAATCTAATTTTTACCAATTCATGGCCTTCTTATGACCACGTAAATCTAAAACAAATGAACAACGGTTTCGAATAAATAACTACCCACTATGTTAGACACAAAAGAACGATAACAAGATTAATCAACACGAGTTTAATAGCGATACAACACAAAATTGTGGGTAGATTTCACTGTTCACCTTAATATTCCTAGTTTTATTTTAGGCCAATGGGATTTTCAGTGACATATCTGCATTTTCAGGCGGAACACCATCACCGAAGACACCCACGCCCCCTGCCGACGGCCTCTCCACCTAGACGACGCAAAATGAGCGTGAGATAAGCCGAGGAGGATCGCGTGTGCCTCGACGGACCGGGAGAAGACGAAATGCTGTCGACGGCGGCGGGGCTGGGCTACGGGGGTGGTCACCAACACCAGCACCAGCAGGCCACAGTCTCCATGACCAACGCCACGCCCCCTTACAGCCCCCCACCCCAGGCCAGACACAGCCCCCTGCCCAGCTTCGGATTCACCCAGGAGCAGGTCGCCTGCGTGTGCGAGGTGAGCGGGAGGGTTGCGGGATGTTGACGGAAATCGGCGGGAGTCGTCGAAGGGTGCGCTTTTTGTGTGCGATTATAAAGATTGGAAGTAAAACATTGTATTCAAAATATAAAGGTAATTATTTACTATCACAAAATATGCCCAAATCGTCACAATTGTACCTTTCTATTTTCGAGGGTGCTGAACACGAATCTGGAGTTATTTTTGCGCAGTCGATCTTAGTTTTCGAAAAAAAATATTTCAAAATTCTAACCCGGACATTTCACAGGACACTACATACGACACTGTATATTTTAGGTAGCTTTCAAAACATCTGTAATGAACAATAAACATTGTTTAAAAAACGCATTTCCTCAAATTTCACGTAAAAAATATTTACTGTCGCAAAACATGCTCAAATCGTCACAAAAAATTTTCTGCCCCTTCTTTTCGAGGGTGCTGAACACGAATCTGGATTTTTTTTTTCGAGAAAAAAATTCTAAATTCTAAACCGGACATTTCACAGATCACTACGCACGACAAACAAACAGTGGTCAAGTTGTCCGACAAAAATTAACATTTAACATCCTTCGTATATACAATCACAAAGTAACATAATAATATAATTCCATCTGAAAATCTGGAAAATTAGGAAAACCTTTTTAGTAAAAACTAAAATCCCAACTTTTTTTTAAACCTTTTTAAATAAATCTAAGAATAATATTTTTTATGAGAAAAATATTTCTTTGAAAATGAATAAATCTAAAAATATATTATATTAATTTTATGTGAAAAGGGTTTGTTTTAATTTTTATGAAAATATATTTTTATTGAATGCGCGTTTATAATAAAAAAAATTGAACGTTAGGAAGATAATCTTTGTATTTTAATCTTTAATCAATAAAAATATTTTACTATTAGTAAGTATGGTGATTTGTATTATTCTAATATTTGATTCAACCAAAAATAATAGCAATTGTACATTAATTTATATATATTTTTTTTATTCCTTCATTTTTTGAAATAATAATTTACAAAAAAAAACGTATTTTAATTTTATGCTATAGCTATTTAATAATACCTAAACAATTTAAGGAGGTTTATCTGATTTGGAATTGACGAACAAAAATTCATAAAAAATTAATATAAGTTTATTAATATGAAGAAATTCCTCAAGCAACAGCAACTTGTATAAATAGGAAACCGATATCTAAGGAACCGTATGACAGCTCGTAGAAATCGATTAGGTACTCGTAAGATACATAATTTATAATAATTTTCCTTCAAACTGCTGTTGTTGATTAACTTAACGTCCATATGCGTGATAGCGGCAACGCCGCGATTCTCGACGTAGCGTATTATTTGAAATTCGCAGGTGTTACATATGGTGTATATTTCAAGCTTAGGCATCCAAACAAAGCCAGCCAAGTGCAACGTTGCCAAATCTAAAGGCTTATTACTTTAGTCACTAAAGAATGTACAGGAACTCTCGTTAGACTTTTAGACGTATCTCCGTACCCTATAAAGCTCTTTAATATAAAAAGTGCGAGGTAGCTACTAGAAAAATGAGAAATACAAAGAAATCAGTGCAATTTAATATTAATCAATAAGAAAACAAGTCTCATTTTATCTGTGAACCGTGGCATCTGTTTTTTCATTTTTCATTTACTCTTTATTATAATAAAAAAGTACAAACATTTTAAATTTAATTTGCATTCAATATTTTATAACAAATTTTAACAATTGTTATAAATGAAACTTATAGTATAATAACAATGCCTTTTTTTAAATAATTACTTTATCAATATTTTTATTTTTTATCAGTAGGTAGCCTATTTTTTTTAAGAAATACGTTTATTTAAGATCAAGTAATCATATTTTATTATATAAAGAGCATTGCGCTTTTACATTTATAGAAAAATAGAAATAAATTAGCTGTACTTTTAACATTTTTATCAGGTACTATATGGAAAAGTATAATATCGATATCATGACTGGAGTAATAGGAAAATTCGTATTTAATAAAATTTCGATCATTAAAATTAAAGTTTGACACTTTATTTTTATTATATTTTTTAAATTATTTAATTTATTAAAAAAAAGTTCAATTAAAGTATTTTAAATGTTTTATCAGTTTTTTATTAATTTGCGGTGCTGTTTTCATCGGACGCATATTTTTTGTAATAAATACTTTATTTCAAAATGAAAAAAAAAACAGACTTGCATGTATGAGGAAACATAATCTCGTCATTTTGACATTTTTGGGGCGTCGGACTGCTCGTACGCTGCATGATTTTTATCGGCTAAATATTTTTTTAATTGTTTTGTCATAAAAACTGACCGTTCCGCATAAAAATTCGTGTTCAGCAACCCACAAAAATAAGAGGAAGGAAAATGTTTGTGACGATTTAACATTTCGTGCTATAGTAAATAATTATCAGTACAAATTCAACAATGTTTCACTAAAAGGGCGTTATTTCGAAAAATACAAAAATTTAGCTATGCTAGATGCTAGAACAAATGTTAATCTGTGCCCAAAATGTAATAATTAGGCCAAATATGCCTCAGTCCATAGTTGCTTCATTTTTGGAAGCCACATTACAAATTGACTTAATTCTCTGAAAATCATATTAGCCAGTAGCTATCGGGAGGTCCCTTTGTTAAGTACGTTAGAATTTCGTTTGACTCCCAATTGTATATTTCAGAGAAGTCATATTAGGTACTATTTTATTCGTAAAAGGAGTAACTTTAGAGTTTGATTATTTGAGGTAGGAGGATTCGGATATGTTTCACGATACAGTAGCACACTTCTATACATATAGGAGTTTCCCTCACAAAACCCTATTCCTAATAACATACCGGTTTGTTTGTCAAAACTGATTTAGTAATGACAATTCGTGAAAATAATGAGTACTGAAACCAATAGTGACCTACTATGGTTTGCATCAAACAAAATACTCCAAAAACATTTGAAGAAAATTGACATTACGATCTCGTTTTACTCAAAAGTGTAATTTCCTTAATCAACTTCGCTGTTTATTCCTGAAACACCCTGTACCAGAGCTCCCGCCATGCTCACTTCCCAACGAATTCAAATTTAAATTCATAACTTTTAATTTACCCTAATCCCCTACCGTCGCAGCTACCGATGCACCCTTATCTCTATACCATCATTATCCCCTGCCACTGGGGATGAATTCCCGATATAACAAACAATTACGGCCGCCTGGGGTGGAAATGGGCATTAGCCAATAAAGATTACCAGATAATGCCAGTCAAAATGTCATCGTTCATAACAGTCTCTTTGGATTGTATCTATAAGGGAAGGGATGTTTTTCGAGGGGGGCTCTAATGGTAATAAACATATTTTTCACGGTGTTTTGGACTGATATTATAATTAAATTATGTCTTCCTTGTAGAGGAGACACAAGGATATAAATACGGGGTGCGTTGTAAAAGTTTTATGAATATGTCGGAGATGTCTTTCTCACAGACCGAGTCCTTCAGACTTTGGCAATTCCAGAATTCTTTACTCAGGGAATACCCTTTTATAAATTGTACCTAGATCACAAAACTTAGAAATAGTTATTTATGAATTAAGCCGGTTATGTTATTCCCGAGTTTTATGGTGGCAAGCTGGGGTTTGGAGGGACTTACGGGTCACTCAACGTAGCCGCGGTCAAAGGATGGATAGCATTTACCTTATGATTACTTTGTAAGGGAATCCCTAGGATATAACGAATTTGATTGGTTCATTTAAGAATAATTTTGACCTGACGAGTGAATAGAAGTACAGAGAGATATGTACTGAAGGTAGTTCTACTTGAGCATTGAAGATGTGAGTACACTACTATTCTGTTGACCGTGGATTCGTTATCGGGCCTCTGGTTGTTGTCATAAAACACCTCGAGTACTTTATTTGTAACGTTTTATTTTAAATCATTTTCATTTACGGTATTACTTATTATTTCGTGAAGATGAGTGACACGAGTAGTGATATTAACGCCCAAGTTAGCCCTACGACTCCGACATATTTAATATAATACGTTGACTTTGTACGTGTAAATCTTTGTTTTTAACTCTGAGTTTGTTTCGATATCCTCAGCTTCAAAGAGTCTCCAGAGAGACCATTTCCTTTTCCTTCACTTTAGTTGGCATAATTATGTATATATCTTGAAAANCTACAAAAATTCCTTTATTCTCATAAACTATTTATTTTAAATGTAATTTATTATAAATCCAATTTGTTTCCTAAATTCCACATATGTACTACATTTTACCTCTGTACGCGCCACTGTTGTTTACTTGTTTTTTGGAAGCGCTCTCTAATTGACGGCAAAGCTCGCCAGGTTAGTATTTGACGTATAACCGACCAGTTCGTACACTCGATGCACCTGGGCGACTACAGCTACTACCAGAACACAGTGCGTATGCAGCGGTATTTCAGATTTTACATTGAATTTCATTTTAAATTTGAAATGATTTATCTTACGCCTCCTAAAAATTATGACACGATTTTTCTTTGATAAAAGGCCGACAATTTTTTGCTCTACTTTGCATCGTATACGATCCTACTATAATACTATTCATTTGTAAAAAGCGGAAAACATTCTTCTGATTCTGTAGAGTTAACAAAGCTGTAGTTGGTAGGTACTTTTATGGCAAATTATTAAATTGCGTGGTATAACAAAATACGTAACAATCGGAAAAAGATAAACAAATTACATATTACAGCATCTTTTTGAGATATTACTGGCATATATTCGTAATAACACCAATTTCCGTCATTATTTTCAATAAATTCTTAAGATTAGATTAAGCCGTAAACAAATAATTGTTTACGTACTTAATAATATATGACACTGATACTGATCTTTAATATTTGAGATGGGATTAGGGAGATACAGCTGAAATTAAAGTGGAATTTTAAACCACGGCTAAATCAACAATGGTACGAATTTAGTTGCCTTAAAATAATATTATCCAAAGCCCCCCTTATCAATTTTAAATACCTGATATAT